AATGTGTTCCACTTGTTTCTCCATCTCTTCTTCCTTGATTCTTTTGGGGTTTGGGGCTAGATATACATCTAAAAAGTACATCAGATTCAGTCATCATCTGGAAGGCATCCCTTCTTTGTCATGTGAGGGTAACAATGTATTGGGATACACTTCTTTATAAAAGACTAAGTATAACTCTACTCTAGCTAATGTTACTTCTATGTATTTTAGAAAACTTCTTGTCATAGTCTATTATTTCCAAATCTCTGGTAATATAATCTTGAAGTAGCAACTCATATGCATATAATTACATTACTATTCTTTTATGTCTATTCTTTTAGATGTTTTAAAAAATTTTTTTGTGGTATCATGGATTGAACTCAGGACCTTGCACTTGCAAGGTACTCAGCAGATTCACTGAGCTAAATTTCCAGCCCTGATTTTCATTTGTTTTAAGAGTGTATACTTTTTGCATGTATAAAAACATGAACCTTATTAATATAGGCAATTAATGCATATTAATAAAACATTTCAAAAATTAAAAATCACTGTACTGGAGAGCAGAATAGTGGTCACTAGAAGGTAATATAAAACCTATTTTGGTAGTTTTTTTCTCCTTTCCCACTCCATACTTCTCATCTCTTCTTCTATTCCAAGAAATCTGCTGTTATTGGCCTGTTTTATTTACACATGGCTTATCACATAAGATATTTAATTTTATGTGTCTGACTTGTTTCACCTTAAACTGTGGTCTCAAAATCATCCATTTCCCTGCAAATGATTCAAGTTCAATCTTCTGTATGGCTGAATAAAATTCCACTGAAACCACAGTACTTGTACAAATTTATTTAATATAGTCATTGTTGGGCGGAGGGTTTAGCTAAGTGGTTCCCCTGCCTGCCTCACAAGCACCAGGAGTTAAATCCCAAAAATAAAACAAAACACTAAAAAGAAAACCATGGCCATTATCTGTTGTATAAGTTCTTAGTTTAAGATTTTTTTCTCTATTATGTATTCATTCAGGCCCAGATAATTTTTAAGTGAATGGATAAATAGAAGTGGTTACAACTGCACATGGTAAATGGTCTTTTTGGATAGTGGAGTATTTATTAGAACATTATTCTCTCAAGAAAACCTCTGAACTTCCTTTAAATCAAGTGTCATCATGCAGATTATGTATTTCAAAGGTTATACAATATTTCACTATAGGGCTGTGCTATTCATGCATTTGATGTCTTTCATTTTCTTTCCTTATTTACTGTTTTTTTGAAATGTTCTTTTTATTAGTTCATGTTCACAGTACGTGAATTTTACATCTCTCTCAGGAAATAGGTACATGTACATAACACGTACATGTTTTCTTTTAAAATTGAATTTATTAGCATGTGCTTCCTTTTTAGTTTCTTTCTCCTCCCACCCACCTCACTCCTGTCTCTAAATTCCCTTTCCACATTTTCAGTCTTGTTGCTATTACTGTTAGCTCATGTTTATGACATATCATGTTTGCATTTACTGTGGTTGTTTAGTTCTTCTGTGTGGCATATTTTAAGTTCTTATATCAATGCTGCAAGAATACTTTGCTTTTGCTAGGTTCAAACTGCACTTGTTGGTTAGGAGACCCCCATTATGCACTGAGGAATGTCCAGAGGCAGTTTTGATTGTTACACAGGAGAGGCATCACTAGAAGTCAAACATGCTGCAAAACATCCTAAAATGCACAGGACTGCTCTTAACACAAATAATCACCTGGTCTAGATTGCTAGATTGAGTTTCTGCCATAAAAGAAACCATGATGTATTTGACTTTCTCTGTTTGATCAATTTTATCTGACATTGTGATCTCAAAATTCATTCAGTTTTCTATAAATGACTCAAACTCACTCTTCTTAATGGCTGAATAAGAATCCATTGAAAATAACAGTACTAATAGTAATTTAATTAACATGGTCATTGTCTGTTGTGTAAGTTCTTAGTTTAAGACTTTTTCTATATTGTGCATTCATACATGCTCATACACATTTTCTACAAGTGCATAAATAGAATTCTTTGCACAGCGCAAATGTTCTTATGTTAGTGGAAAATCCTTTACAAGGGTGCACCTCCTTTCACTCAATAAAACCTGTGAACTTTTGGCAAATCAACTGTCACACTGCAGATTAGATATTTCTTTTGTTGTATTTTTCCTTTTTATTTTATGAAAAAAATAGAAAATTTTTCATAAGCAAATCATAAGAGATAACAATAATTACACTGTGTATAATTATTTTCAAAATAGTTACTTAGTAGAAGACATAAACCAAAAAGATTCTTACAAAAAAGAAACAGGTGATAACACAAACTTTCTTTTCAAGTGACTAAGGTGAACTATTGGTGTAAATGAGATGAATTAGCATATATATTGAAATACTTGCAGATGAGACACTTTAAAGGCTGTAAAATATTTCACAGTGGGGTTGTGCTATTGGCACATTTGATGGTCTTTCCTATTGTTTCCCTTTCACGTACTGTTATGTCAATGCTGCAAGAATACTTTATTCTCATTAGTTTCAAACTACAGGTTTTGGTCAGGAATAATTTTGTCTCCCAATTGGCACTGAAAAATGTCCAGAGACAGTTTTACCTGCCACCCCGGGGAGGGGCTGTTAGAGGTCAGGGCTGCTGCAGAACATCAGGAAATGTACAGGAATATTCTTGCCACATGAGCCACCCAGCTCAGATGGTCAGTTGTGTGGAAATTGAGTTAAATTGTATCTGAACTTTTAATTTTATAGCTGCCTTCAAATTGTCTCTGTAATGCACGGCAGTAAGTTACATTGCTGCTACCAAACTATCTCTTTTCTGTTTAATAAGTGCAATCCAATAATTTATGGCTTCTTAGGATTTTCCCCCTCAAGTCTGGAGTGTGCAAATATATTTCTTTTGCTTTTCTTAAACTATTGCTGATGCTGAGAAAGTGTTCATATATTTATCTCCATTTTGATTTCCCTATTACTATTATTTATTTTCTGTTTCCATCATTTGACGTAATATTTCTATATTATTGCTTCTTTGTTTATTTGAGGGTGATATTTTTGACCATTAAAAAACCTAAAATTTTATTTAGGTCTGCATATCTACCTTCTTGCTCCTGAGTTTCTTTCCTTAACATGGTTTTCTTCACTCTAGAGTTTATATATTATTATTTCTTCTTATTCATATGCAATGCATTTTGTACTTTTATGCTGGGGTATTCTCTCTTCTGAATTTTGTTTGGGGACCAATTTCATTTTTCTTCAGGTAACCATTTATGTCAGCTTTTATCCCACAAGCCAATCTCTTCTCACTAAGTTGAGCTGCAACTTGTCATGTATTAAAAGTCCATGTAAACTGAGACTTAATTCCTAATTAACTGAAAAATGATAGCTAAACATCTATTATATAGTAGAATAGTAAAGAACCATGATCTATTAGATGTCAAGACCTTTGTCAATTTAATTATTAATTTCTACTGGATATCTTTAAGTTGTTAATGCTTTACATCTTGGATAAGTTGGATTTTTCTTGCTGTTGTGACTCTGGGGATGGAATGCAGGGTGAAGATATCACACTGAGATACTATTTTGTCAGTTTTTAAGATTTCAATCATGTTTGATTATATTGTAAAACTATGTTTAATCTGTAACTGTTTTAATTACATAAATTATCATTTTAAAACTTGTTTCTATGTAATTGCATTTCTATATACATACCTACCTTTGTGAAAATGAATAAAGCAGGTAAGGTATGTGATAATTTGAATCTTGTACTGTAATGACACAATGAGTAGAGTGAAATAAATGTGTTTGTGCCACATTACTGTCAGGCACAGATCCTAGGAAGAAAAGAATTGAGTTGCCCTGGACATAGCATGGTTTTATGTTGAATGCGCTGTAGATGCTTTTGCATCTTTTATGCCAGAACTACAGTTAAATCGCAACTGTACAATCCCCCCCACAAAGACATTAATTTTCAAAGCCCAAGAAAAACAAGGAAATGATGCCACTTGTGAAAAATGGGGAAAAGGCCTGTCTCCTCCACCAGTGGACCACATCAAATCTTGCTGGTAAAATTAGTATGGAAAAAGGCATAAGAAAAATGAATTCTTCTTTTCATTTCAAAATACAGTCAATGTTTGTTGTAGTTTGTCAATTATATCTTATTCCTTTTGATCCTTTTACCCCTGGAGTTATTTTCATATAAGGTGTTTGAAAACATAGATATTTCACAGCTTCTGACGTGGATCCATTAGTTTTTGCTCTCCTATTTGTGCAGGGCATCCAGGAGACAGAATCTTGTTGGGTGGTGCCACAGCCTCGTGTGCGTTGTCTTCCTTTTGGTCTTTCAGCAACAACCTGAATTTATTACCTTATTTACCCCAGTGTCCTTTTAATTCCTATTTCTCACTTCACATGTATTGAAATCATTTTTGCATATGTTTCTTTAAATGGAGAGCAGAAGATTTAAAACATACCAAAATCTAGGCCTGTGGTTATTCCTTCACAGAAGTCTTAGACATAGAAAATTTGGGTATCTTCCTTAGGGGGAAGATAACCTGGTCTGACCAAGGTACACTGTATACTCTGGCTACCTAAGCTGGTTGCGAGGGTCAGAAGGCCATGGTGGTCATGGTAGTATGTGTGCAATCCTCAGAGCAGAGCTGTCCACTTTCCCAGGTGAGCCTTGCAATAGGGAGGAGGGCTCAGCAGTCAGTGGCATCGTTAGGTCTCCATTGCAGTTCACATGATGTGTTTGCAACACAATATGCAAAAAGTACATAGTATGGAAGAAGGGTTCCTTCTGTTTTGCAGTTTCAGCACTGCCTCATTCTCTGACACCATCTTCCATCAAAATTTGTCTATCTCAATGACGTCCCACACTGGGAGGCCTTGAAACTCTTAACACAAGCACCTGCAGTAGGCCTTTGCACTGTCTATTCCCTCTGCAGAGAATCTCCTAGATTATGCTTGTGTTATTTTTCTTTTTCCTGGTAGGTGAGTCCACCACATGGAGCTAGGCAACAACACCAGGATTTCAGAATTTCTTCTTCTGGGATTTTCAGATGACCTAGAACAGCAGTCCCTCATTTATGGACTTTTCCTCTCCATGTACCTGATCACTGTGCTTGGGAACCTGCTCATCACCCTGGCCATCATCTCAGATTCTCACCTCCACACCCCTATGTACTTCTTTCTCTGCAATCTGTCCTTTGCAGACATCTGTTTCACCTCCACCACGGTCCCCAAGATGCTGGTGAATATTCAGACACAGAGCAAAGTCATTACCTACACAGGTTGCATTACCCAGATTTATTTTTTTTTGCTCTTTGCAGAGTTGGACAATTTCCTCCTGGCTGTGATGGCCTATGACAGATTTGTAGCCATCTGTGATCCCCTGCACTACACAGTCATCATGAACCCCTGGCTCTGTGGCTTGCTTCTTCTGGGGTCCTGGACTGTGAGTGTGCTTCACGCCTTGTTGCAAATCTTCATGGCTTTGCAGCTGTCTTTCTGTACTGACTTGGAAATCCCTCACTTCTTCTGTGAACTCAATCAAGTGGTCCAAATTGCCTGTTCTGAAAACTTTCTTAATGACCTTGTGGTGTATTTTGCACCTGTGCTGCTGGCCACTGGTTCCCTCACTGGCATCCTTTACTCCTACTCTAAAATACTTTCAGCCATACATGGAATGTCATCAGCTCAGGGGAGAAGTAAAGCCTTTTCCACCTGTGCATCTCACCTCTCTGTTGTCTCTTTATTTTATGGCACAGGCCTAGGCGTGTACGTTGGCTCTGCCAGAGTCCACAGCTCACACTCAACTGCAGCAGCTTCAGTGATGTACACTGTGGTCACCCCCATGCTGAACCCCTTCATCTACTGTCTGAGGAATAAAGACACAAAGAGAGCTCTGAAAAGACTATTTGGAATGAAACTATAAAGGAATCCATTGCCTCCGAGCTGAAGTAGCATCTGTGATTGCAGGGACCCAGACCTTAGAGCAGAGGTTGTGATTTTTTTTAACAGATTGTGAATGTTAACTCACTCTTTCTGTGTTTTTCTTGGGATTTCCATTACTGCAATTTCAATCACTGTTAAAAATATAAATAATTTTAATTAAATATTTTATGAGTGCATCTCAATTATACAGCACAGTGCACTTCACTTTGGCATGTTTGTACCTGCATTAGCATGGTTTTTTCTTCTGTTTACTCTACTTGTCCTAGTTCCGTTCTCTTCCCACTGATTTCCTATTTAATAGTCTCCTTTCTACTTTCATATCATCTTTTTTTAAAGTTGCATTTAGGAGAGAGAAACTTGCAATACGCTTCTATTTGAGTCTAGATCATTTTGTTTAAAATGATTGTCTTCAGTTCCACCCATTTTTCCTGCAAATGTTACTGTTTCATTTTTATCAGTCTCTCTCTCTCTCTTGCTCTCTCTCTCCATATATATTTTTCACATTTTCTTGTTGGAACCAGGGATGATTCTATACCTTGTGATAGTTGCAGTATCACAAACATGGTTATACAGGCATCTCCACAGTATAATAACTTTCATTAGTTTGATTATATACTGAGGAATGTTACAGTTGGTTCATATGGCAGCTGTAGTTTAGTTTTTCAGGAACCTCTATATTGATTCCTATAGCAACCATATTAACATACATTCCTTCTAATCAAATATTAAGATATTTTTTCTCCCATATCCACATAAGCATTTATTGATATTTGTACTCTTTTTTTTTTTGGTATTGGGGATTGAACTCGGGTCCTTGCACTTGCAAGGCAGGCCACCGAACCGCTGCGCTAAATTCCCAGCCCGATGCTTGTACTCTTGATGATAGCTATTCTGACTGGGGCAAAATGTATCTCAGTACAGTTTTAATTTGCATTTTTCTGGTAGCTAAAATATTGAACATTTTCCATATAATTATGGGCCATTTGCACTTCTCTTGAGAAGTGTCTGTTCAGTTAATTTACCTATTTATTAATTTTATTATTATTATTATTTTTGGTGTTAATTTTTTGAGTTCTTTATATATCCTTGATATTGTTTTCACAAGAGTAGCCAGCAAAGATTTTTTTCCTACTATGTCAGATGTCTATTAACTCTGTTGCTTCCTTTGCTATGTAGAACCTTTTTAATTTTATTTCCATTTGTTCATTCTTGCTCTTATTTTCTGTGCTATGAAAGTTTGGGGCTCTTTGATATTTTTGAGGTGATTATTATAAATGGCGAGAAATAGAGATTTTGTTTCAATCTTCTACATATAAATATCAAGTTTTCCCAGAATTTTTAAAAAAACTGTCTTTTCTCCAAAGTCTCTTTTTTAAATCTTTTGTCAAGAACCAGAAGTCTTTTCCATCAGAGTCACAGCAGACTTTTCAACACAAACCCTCAGGTCAAGGAGAGCCTGGGGTGATTATTATAAATGGCGAGAAATAGAGATTTTGTTTCAATCTTCTACATATAAATATCAAGTTTTCCCAGAATTTTTAAAAAAACTGTCTTTTCTCCAAAGTCTCTTTTTTAAATCTTTTGTCAAGAACCAGAAGTCTTTTCCATCAGAGTCACAGCAGACTTTTCAACACAAACCCTCAGGTCAAGGAGAGCCTGGAGTGAGATATTTCAAGCCCTAAAAGAAAACAACCTATAGTGATGTAGCCTGCAAAACTCTCTTTTAAAATGGGTGGGGAAATGAGATATTTCCACAACAAAGAACACTTGAGAAGCTACAAGAATACCAAGCCAGCATTCCAAAATATTCTAAACAATGTCCTATAAAAAGACAGTGAAGGACAACACAAGACCCAACAGAGAAAATCAATTAGGCAAGGCAAGAAACTAAAGGGAGAGGGGGAAGAATTAAAAAGAGCCAACCACAAGACAATAACACAACATGATAAGTCAATACCTATCAGTTATAATCATCATTGTTAATGGCCTCAATTCACCATTCAAAAGAAATCAAATGGCAGAATGGATTAAGAAGCAAAAATCCAACAATATGTTGCATACATCTAGTTCAAAAAGAAGCCCGTAGACTGAAAGTGAAAGGATGGAAAACAGTTCTCCATGCAACAGAAGCCCAGAAAAAAGCAGGGATAGCTAACTTATTCACAGACAAAGTAAATTTTAAACCAAAACTAATTAAGAGAGACAAAGAAGGCCACTACATTCTTGTGAAGGGGAACAATCCAAGAGGAAGAGATGACAATCATAAATATGTATGCACTAAATATTAACATCCCCAACTAGATAAAACAAAAATTAAGGCACATGAAAAACCAAATAAACACTAATACACTTGTAGTAGGGAAGTCAATACCCCAGTGTCATGAAAAAACAGATCATCTAGAAAAAAAGACAACAACGAAATACTTGAACTGAACTAAGCTTTTGAGCAAACGGACTTAACAGATGTCTTCAGAATGTCTCACCCCACAAAATCAGAATATACATTCTTTTTGGCTGCACATGGGTCATTGTAAAAATTAGACCACCTACTAGCATATAGAACATGTTTAAATAAATGCAAAGGAATTGAAGTTGTCCCACGTATAACATGCTCTCCACAATATCCTTCTTCAACATGTACAAGAGCAACTAATGGAAAATGGGGAAAGAATGGTGTTTCCACCTGGAAGGTATTGTCTTTCCACTCGTTGACATGTACTCTCAACAAGCTACCTTTCTTAAAGGATTCCATAGGTGCTCCAACCATGTATTTCAGAATCCTTTCTTTAAGGTTCATCATTCATTACTAGTTTCATTGTTGAGGAAATATAGTTAGATCTGAATAGAAATTGTAATGGGAAACAAGGTGCGGGGGTTTGAATGTAGCTCAGTGGAAATGCTTTCCTAGCACTTATGAGGCTCTAGGTTCCATCTGCTTCACCATAAACAGAGAAACTAATAAATCCCTAGATAACGAACCATACCTATGGAGACTCAAAGACAGGCATAAACAGCTGCAGCCACAGACACACAACCTAACCCACATGCATCCACTCCCGAACACAAAACTGGAGGCATTGTGCATACAGAATATAACACAAATGCATAACTTATGCTTTAAATGCCAACATAATTCCATCTAGTATTATTAATAAGAAATTTTAAATATCCCTTGGAACTTTTAAAAGGACAACAGAAGAATGTGTAATTTTTAATGTACAAAAATAGTGCTAGGCCATAGAATAGTACATACATTATGTGTTTAATTTATTTCTGAAAGTTCTTGTGGTGCGATTACCTAATTTCATGGTTTGTTGTGCATGAACTTTGGCTTGACAGTTAAGATTTGCCTAACATCCCTTACCTTGTTTAGATGGCTTATTGGATCATTTTTTTCATACTGACTTCAATTCTGGAAACTAACTTATATTTTAATGCCCCGTAGGGTTTTACTTTTCTTCTCCAATTAAGTTTTGATACTTAATAATAAAGAAAGGATGAATGAGAATTAGGAGTTTCAGTAATTCATGTATTTTGTCTTAAATGTTGGACTCAGTTGCAACATGACAATGTATCACCTTTTGCTGAACCATCTTCTGAAGAACATGCAATTTAGCAATACTGCTGTAGAACTAGTGCATTTGGATGAGAAAAGAAAATTGCATGCAAAGAATGATATTCTCAACTTCTGGCACTTTCCAATTGGTCTTATACTTAGAATAAAGTTGTAAAGTTTCCCCCACATATATAACAGGGTCAGCAATTGTCTTTATTTGAGGATATGATAAAGCAGGCTCTTGAGGACCTGAGGAGAATTGAGGCCTAATTGGCCTCCTCTGTGAACACAAGGAGAAAGGCTGCACTCAAAGGTGATTGCATATTAGGAAAAAGTTAAGACAGCTAGGTTAAGTTGTTTACCAAAGAATGTACTTAATGGTTATTGGAAACCAGATAAATCTTGTGTTACTTTGATTGCTTGTGCCTGTGTTTGGGTGAATAAAAGCAAAGTGAGCCAAAGGTTTAGGGTTCCGCTGCCTGTTAGAGGCACAAGCCTCCAAGCTGCCCACATATTAAGCTAATTCCGTGGCTCTTTCTCATTCATCCTCATTTTACTTCAGGCCAGGGAAGAACAAAGTATCAGGTCTAGATCCTGGACCAAGGCTGGTGGCAGAATCCAGTTGGCTGCAACTGGTGGTCCCTGAAACATTATGGGAAACCTGTGCAATTAGCTCCCGTCTCCTGCTCAGTATATGATTCAGCCTGAGGAAAAGCAACTAAAGACATAACAGAACTAAGAGAGACACAAAGTGAGAAGCTAGGGTGGCCAAAGCTACTTTAGCAAAAGGCACTGGTCCACTCAAGTCATTCATTTTTATTAGTAATCAATTGAGGTAAAGGCAAATGATGTGCAAGGATGCACAATTGTGTAGTTTCTATGGAAACTAATGGAGACAAGGCTCATACAGGAAAAGACAAGCATTCTCAAATTAGGAGCTGAATAGACAAAATATATGGTTATAATTAAAACATTCCTCTAGTAAGAAGATTTTAGCTGTGGGAATGGAATTTGGGTGCAAGTTACTCTGACCTCAGCAGGCTGGACTTGCTTTTCAAAATGAGTTACTTGTGGGGCTAACTCTTTACAGCCTGCACTGCTTACAGCCTGCTTTAGGCATAATCAATTTTGCAGTCTCCTGCAGATTATAGTGGGCCATAGGAATTACGGTGGTAAATTGGATCTCCTTGTAATGCACATCATTCAATATGAGTACACAATATTTAAGTGTGGGTTGTGTGTCACCACCTCTGCTCACTGCATGGTCACATATTACAGCTGACCTTCCAGTTTATAGAACTTTCCTGTTGACCCACTTTCTCATGAATGTGTGAGAGGTGTCTTTATTTAGCCATATGTTGGTATATTTTATATGATTCACAACATTCAATAAATATGGCATCTAAGTGAATAACTAGTAAATC